CTGTGAGGAGCCCTGCGCTGAGAGGAAAGTGGTTTCCCGAGCCCTCGCCCTCGTAAAGAAGTGCCTCTCGACTGGGGCCGCTGCTGTGCTCGAGCTGCCTTTTGCTTCGCCGGCCTGGGGTGCTGCCGAACTGGTTGCCTTGTGTGAAAAGCCGGGGGTGGGGCTGCACACCACAGCCTCCTGCAGCCATGGGTCCTCTTTTCTGAAGCGTCACCGTTTCCTGTCGGCACGCTGTTGTCTTACCGCAGCCTGCAAGCCCTGCACTTGTGTGGGAAAACACCGGCCCGTCCGGGGAAAGTCTGCCCGACCAAACCGGAGCCACGTGCCGGGCTTGGCCTTTGCCCTGGCAGACTGCTTCGAGACTGAGCTTAGGGGCAGAGCTGCTCTGCTGAGGGAGCAGGACCTTGACGTCGCGGGCCTTGAGCGTATTGCTCTGTCTGACCTGGCCCTCTCTTTGGATTGGACCGAGGAAGAGGTGTGGGCTTGGAAAGGACAGGTCCACATTAACATCCTCGAGGCTTCGGCCCTAGGCCGGCTTTTCAAAAGGGTTGCCCTCGAGTCGGCGCCCCTGCGTTTCTGTGCCCTTTGTGACAGCCAAGTTGCCCGCTGCGCCGTGATCAAGGGCCGTTCGCCCTCCCCGGGACTGAGACATGCCACTCGCCGCACCTCTGCCCTTTGCCTGGCAGCTGGACTTTATCCCGCGGGTTTGTTTTGCCCGACCCGTTGGATCCCTGCAGATGGGCCGACTCGCGACAGGCCCATAGACCCTCCTGTGTCCACGCTCGGCCCTGGTTTTTGGGACAGAGAGAAACTATACCGAGACGGCACCCGGGCGCGGCTTAAACGGTGGGCTGCTAACTGGGTTCGGTTGGCCTTCGCCGTTCGCCCCGCTCTAGCCAGCCTGCCTCTGGCTCCCTCTGAGTCGCGCTATGCTGGGCTCCCCTTCCGTGCTTTCCTTGGCCTGGATTTTGACTCGACTCTTGGCTATCCGGGGGAGGGCCCCCCCTACGCGGTTGGATTTACCCTCGGTCTCTCCTTCCTCTTAGGCTCCAGCCCTCTCCTGACCGTTGGTTGCCGAGGCAGGTTCCAGGTCTTCGGGGTTTTCTACGCTAGCTTCCAGGTAGCCTTCGCCATGGAAGCGCCTCGCGCCCGGAAAACAGCGGAAGAGAGAAAGACTGCTCGGGCTGGCACTGCTCTGCAAAAGGGGGAGGCCCACACTGCCTGCAACCCGGTCGCGCCGAGAAAAGCTTCAGGACCTTTTCGCTTCCTGGCTACTTCGGCGTGGCCGAATCTGGGAAGGTTTGTTGGACCTTGGCCGCAGAGAACCTGAGCAAGTGAATGAGGTTTTTATCTGGTATGGTCAATGGCTCTACGAAGAGGGCCTTCCGTACTACCACTACGCTGAGACCCTGAACGCCTTCACCACCGAGAGCCCGAACATGCGAAGACAACTGCAGGCGGCCTGGGACCTGGCTTTTGCTTGGCAGCGGCAGGAGCCGCCGACCCACCATACTGCTTTGCCGTGGCAAGTGCTGCTAGCTCTTTTGAGCATCGCGCTCCTCTGGGGTTGGGATGATGTGGCAGGCATCCTAGCTCTTTGCTGGGGCGGTCTCGCACGGGTCGGCGAGGCCATGGCAGCGAGACGCTGCGACCTAGTGCTCCCGGAGGACGTGGGAAAAGAGTGCGGCTGGGGCTCCTACCAAGTCTTCATGTCCATCCTCGAGCCGAAGACTAGGTTTAAATCGGCCAAGCATCAGTGCTTGAAGGTCGATCAGCCCGACTTGGTCGCCATCGTCATCTTCGCTTTCGAGAAGCTGAGCCCTGGTGAAAGGCTTTGGTCTCGCTCCGGCTCCACCCTGCGGAACCGCTTCAGGAAGCTGCTTCTGGCTGCAGGCTTACAGGAACGAGCGGTGCCAGAGCTTAAGGACTTTGACCTGGCCAGCTTGAGGGCTGGAGGAGCCACCTGGCTGATGCTGACGACCGAGTCGCCGGACTACGTGAGGAGGCGTGGCCGGTGGATCACCACGAAGGTGATGGAGATCTACATCCAGGAGGTCTCATCTCTGATGTACCTCCCGAGACTCCCCGCTGAAACCCGAGCGGGCCTTTTTGCTTGGGCAAACGGCTTCCACGAAGCTTTTGCGTTTGCCCTTTGGTGCCGAAAGCTGTCTATCCAGCCGCACCTCCGTTTATCGTTGCTGAAGCAAGGCTTGTACAATGCTTGAGAGTTTGGGTGTTCTTCTT